AAAGATAAAATCTTAAAAAAAAAAAAAAAAAAGGATATGCTCCTCCTCATCAACGGTTATCACCATGGGGTCTCACAATGAAACACAGGAAAATGAATGAGGCTGGGCAGCTAAAGCCTTACATGAAACTAATTTTAGGAGGCTATTGGAAAGCTAATGCCTAAATTCAAGAACCTCCCTAGGGAAGGTAGACTGCAGTGCCCAGCCAATAGCGTGAACAATGTTCAGGGCAGCAGAGGAAGCGTGATTTCTCTGTGTGAGCCTCCCTCCGCTCCCACCCCAGGCAGGTAGATGGGCAGCGGTCCCACTGGAACTGAAGCTCACTTTGATGCCAGCCAGCAAAACCATCCTACCGCTCTTTGTTAACTCAGGTTTGGAATCACAGGCTGCCCTCCAATTCCTTTTATCTGGAAAAACAAAACAAACACCACCCTTGAGAATCCTTTGTGTTTCACGAGTTGGCACTGCGGGGGTGCCAGTCTGAATACAGAACCACCTGCGCTGGTGAGTACCCCAGGTGTCGCTCTCTGGCTCATCCCAGAAGAGCTCAATTTGCCAGATCCAGGCAGCAGTTGTGTTGGTGATGAGCCCACTAGGAACACAAATGATTCGTTGCTCTGGGCTGGCAGCCTCCCAGGAGTTAGCCTCTCAATGACTTCATTCCTCTCCCAGAATTTGGCAGCTTAGGGCCCTGTGAGGGTGAGGATCCGCACGTTACTGGTGTTTTAGAGTACGCATTGTGCAGCAGGAGAGCTCGATTTTAGAATATTAACCACCTGACTCACAGTTTTAAGCCTTTTACATTTCTAGCTGCCCCAACAAAAGGATTCTACCAAAAGAAAAGGCACGGCGAATGTCTTTCCCATCAACTCCTGCTCACTGTTGAATCCATGAGAGGCCAACGGAATCTGATTTGTCTTATATTAACATGGCCTCTACCAAGGAATAATCTATTCGTTTGGCTATTTGGTTTCAGCTCTAGTCTACTTATTTTCTATGACTGAACCACGTATTATGAGGACTCAATCACAGAATCCTGGCAGGTATGATAGGCCATATGTGGTCCTATCAAACAATAAATACGGCACCTACCACACAGTTAGGCATGTGGCTGGAGCTCATTAAATATTTGTGGAATTAACGTTAATTAAAATAGGAGAGTCTTAAACCTACTCAGAAAGATCTGGCAGTCTGGTATTTTAATTTGTGGAATTAATTTAGGAGACATTGAACCTTTATCTCTCTTTGTGAGACTAGTGCAATAGATTATATTAGCTTCTTTTGGGGAGCAAGGCACATAGCTGAACCACCAAGTAACAGTAAATTCCATTTAATTAAAACTGTTTATATTCAAATTGCCAGTACCATATAATACCTTGCAGGATGACCTCTGACTTAGATTTTTTTATGTGTTCTTTGACTTGTTTCCCTAATTTTCCAAAATAAAAAAGCAAATTTTGTGATTCTGTGGTTTTAATTTGCATTTTCATTGTGGCTGGAACTGAACAGAGCATGAACAAACTAGGCATCGGGTGCTCCTAGAACGTGCAAATAAAAAAAGAAAGAACGTAGCAAAAAGCTGGCAATAAGAACGTGAGGAATCTGGCTGCAAAGTGAAAGAATTTTATTGGGCAAAGCGGTATATAATGAAAGCACATCAATGTCACAACTCTTTATGAGGAGAGTCTCCATTTAACAGATTAGCTGACTCACATTATCAGTAAAAACAACAACAACAAAGTCTTACGTTTCTTCTGAGTCAGTGCAAACCTCTCCTTAGGTTGTCACAGGATAGGCTGGTACTTAAAATTATGGAAAAATTCCCAGACAGAAACTTAGGGGCTGGCAGAAAAGCCAGCTGGTCTGTAATGATGCACATGTGAGTTTAGGAGAATTTAGTATTATGGGCTTCAAGAAAAATATATACTCTTATTTAGATTTTTGACTTAAAATTGTTAACTGTATTTGTGCTTCAGAAAATGGCAAGTAGGATGGCAAATTCTGTCCATAATGAAAATCTAAGTAGTTACATATCTGGAAGGGTTTGGGTGGCAAGAGCAGAAAGAGAAAGTTCCTTCCCCAGTTGGAGTGGTCCAGAGCCCAAGATCCAACTCCACGCCCAAGGACAGACTCTCTGCCCAAAAGCCGACTCTGTGCCCAAGGACAGACTCTCTGCCCAAGGTCGGACTCCGTGCCCAAGGACGGACTCTGTGCCCAAAAGCCAAAGGCAAAGGGAGCCAAGTCACGAGGGAGAGAAAGAGGTGGACAACCTCAGCGTGTACAGGAAAAGCGGAGCAGAGACCGGAGCAACAACAAACCAAAGAACATTTATTATGTACAAGAGGCAGTCAGGGATGACAGGGAGAGCAGGGCATACTTTATTATGAAATATTTCAAACATACATGAAAATCCAAAAAATAATAAAGCTCGTGTATCCATCAACTAGATTTATCCATCATTAACATGGAGTCCTATTTTCTTCAGTCCTTTTATTCAGTAAAAAGTTATATATACAGTAGAAAGCCCCTATGTATCCCCTTCCTGATATTTCCATGAATTTGGTTATGAATCTTTTATGCCAGGCTTATTTATTTGGAAGAACTTAGAGGAAGAAAATAAAACTACCCAACCTAATAGAAGAGTAGTAAGCAAACAAAAGTGGAGGCACAAAAGGTCATTAAAGAAAATGTTGACAAAGAGAAACGGTTCCAATAAACAAAAACACAAGATGCTGTCCTTTCTCTCCTAAGTCTAGCCTTAACTGCTTCCTCTCTTGTAAGTGTTTTTCTCCAAAAGACTGTTTCTGAAAGAGAAAAATCAACTATCATTATTATGCCATATATAAAAACGCAATCACCATGGTTCTTAACTTCTACCTTAAGTATCAATGCAAGCAAACCAAACATTTACTTTTAAATGAAATTATACATTAAATCAGAACTGCCAGTTAAAGAAAATCACCATCACCAAAGCAGAGCTATTATTATGTCAATTATACCTGTTTGTACTCCCCGTCACAAATATAAAATATAGCTCTTTGTACTCTCCTTCAAATATAAAATTATTTTATATTAACTTATATGCTGAAATACTTATTGCTTTTGAGCAAAAGGTTACAGAGTTTTATGTTCTCATCAACACATCACTCCTAGTATAGCAATTTTATGATTACTAACAAATTAAAAACAAACTTCTCGAGAGATGATGAAACAAATTGAAAACACATTTTCTCTCTCTTTGGGAAGAATAACAAAATACTAAAGAGTCAAATAAATTGTCACTAGAACAAAGGAAATATGCTTAAGTAACCATGTACACAATTTTTTCTAATAATATAACCCCTTAGTTTCCTGCCCCTTCAGAACCGATCTAATCTAAAAAGATATTGCCCCACAGCAGACAGGTAAGCAGCAGGGGGCAGAAGAGAGAACTCAGCATTGAGTCATAAGAACTACTTTCCAGTCTGTGTGCCTGATTTTGGACTGCCATTTAACCTCTCTGAGCCTCAGCCTTCTCACCTATACAATTGGGTCATACTTTCTTTTCAAGGGTATTGTGAAACTGAACTATGTGACTAGATGTAAAAGTGCTTTTTAAATAAGGCACTACCCCAAAATAAGGTATCACACTGTATATTCAAGTGCAGACAAAATATGTACATATTCCCACAGTAGGAGGAAAGCCAGTTCAACTACTATGCTTTAAATCAAGTGGTTTTTTTTTTTTGAGTAGTATCTTCAGACTATCCAGAAACAACAGAAAATACAGGGTTCATCTGAAGATGTGTGTGTAAGCACTCTCAACGTCTTAATGAAAAGAAACTATTACCCAGATAAAAAGTCAAAGCACATACAAGTTAATTAACTTGACTGGTGCTAGCACTAAATTGCAGAAGTTCTGTCACTGCATGTTCCTTCATCTATGTTAAGATTATTATTAAAGATTTTTGAGCCCATGTATGCAAAAGAGCAGTCCCTATTAAAATTGAGAAACACAAGAAAACTGAAATCGTAATTGGAACTGTAAGTCAGCATTTGTTAAAAAATAAACCAACACTTGCAAAGGAAATAAATCAATGAGAATCAAAACCATTGATCTTGCACTGATGACATTTACCTTAGAACTCAGTTGAACTTAGCAACAGAAACAAAACAGTAGTCTCCAGAATGTCTGAACCCCGGAGGTCTGAGTGTCTGAAAGCTCTCACGACCGACCGCGGAGACCCACAGAGATCAGTGCGAGCTACTTGCAAAAGGTCTGATGTAACTGCACGTATTAAGTCAAAGTCCTTTCCTTTTGGCTGGAATTCTATCGACGCAAAGTGATAAAGACAACTCCATTTTGATCAGAAGTTCTAACTGGCCATTTATACTGACCATAAAGTTCCATCATTCCTGAAGGCCATCTTAGAACAGAGGACCCCAGACCGTAACGGGACCGGCAGGGACAACTGCAGGGGAACTAGTGTTCAAAACTCACCCACATCGTCTTTCAACCACAAGAATCACCGTGGCCAAGAGAAGGGAGTATGTTTCCTTTTGAAATGCACGCACCATCCGTGCAGCCCACCTTCCATTCTTGGGCCCTTAGAACCTCCTCACAAAAGTGCTGCACACTGCGAGAGCCACGTGCACGCGTGAGGGTTAACCTCACGTGGAGGCGCCAGGAATTTCAGGCCAACTGTGCCTCGCGACGATTCCTACCAGTCCCTCCACATACCAACCTGAGCTCTGTCGAACCCCCCAGCACCAAGGAAAGGCGGCCGCAGCCGGAACCACCCCTGGCCTCAGTGCTGTTGTCCTGTCGAAGGCAGATTGCCCAGCGAGACTTAGGGAGGGAGCGAGAACAGCCCGACCAGGCCTCGGGTCATTAGATGACAAAAGAAAACACGGCCTTACAGAGAGAGGTGTTCTACTCCATGAGCTCTACCCTGGGGACACGACTGGAAATGTCCCGCTGGTGGTTACAGAGGTGGCAAAAATAACCAAATTTTACTTACTTAACTTTTTAACAGTTTTTTCATTTCAATAAATTTATTTTGATTGGTTGGATTGTCTAAGAGGAAGAGAAGAATCTGTTCATGTTTTTCAACCTATGGGTGAAAAAAAGTAGTATTATGTAACTTCTCAAAATATGAGGAGGATAATGTCACTTAAAGGGAAGTTTACGCACTTGTTTCTGTAATTCTGAGCAGCAGCAATTCATCCTGTTCGTTTTTTCTAAAAGCAAATAAAAAAGCCATAGGTAACATGTTACACATAGGTAAACACATTGTAAATCCTGGAGCCTGACCACATGCAGATCTGCCCCTCAGCCATGGAACCACACAGAACCTGATCAATTAAGGTTTTCATTTGGGCTTTCGTGTTGTCTGTCACCGTGTCCTGGATTCCACTGAATCAATGCCCACACGTCTAAGATTTTAGGTCTTCTGCCTCTCATATATGGGATATCTGTTTCTGCTGGACGGCAGGCCTGCCAAATCATTATCTTATGAAATATCTTAAGATCCAATCTCAAACACATGAGCTTTTCTCACTTTGATCAGGATCAAAAGTAATGTGCAAGTAACTTTGAATGCTTGACATTTCTGAAGTTCCCGGCACCAATTCTACGGACAGCGACCGCGCTGCCGAGCCCGACCTAGGGGGAGTCTGGCCTGGGAGGCCGGCTCCCACCCAGGAGGCGGCAGCCGGAACTGGGACCCTGCCGCTGGGCTGATAAAGGAGGGGGATGACGGCGGCGTGGCCACGGGGAGGAAGGAAAGAGCAGGTCAATTCACAGGACATCTATTCTCAAGTACAGCGACACTTGTTATTAAATTTGGAAAAAAACACCTTTACCTAAAGCATTTTGCTTTTTAGATGTGACGTTTTTTGCCAGACCATACATCACCAGCTTATCAGTTAGACTGACAGCACCATTCTCAGAACATTTCTCAACCGACACAGTATGGACATTCTTAATAACTCCTTTTACGGAAAGCATAACATTCTGATTCAACATGAAATTTTTCAGTAGTTCTATTACTAAGTGAGAACAGCTTCCATTCAATTCCATGAGTCCTGGAAAAATAAATAAATATTGGAGTTAATCTTTAAGACCCTCAAAAAAGGTAATATTTAGATAAATTATCTAAGGATAGTAAGAAAAAAGCTCACTGATTTTAGCTGGGTTTAAAAGTCTGCTTTGATGTACTACTGCCGTTTGCTGCATTAAAAAATAATACATATTCACTGGTCCCTATTATGTGTCAAGCACTAACCCGGGTCTAGAGGGCCAAAACAGACAAATGGTTGCCTTCATGGACATACATTCAAATGGGAGAAGAAACCAATAATAACTTTTTACCTCTCCAAGTCAAAAACAAAGCAGACTCTGAGGTAGTGTGTTACTATCTAAGGGGACCTCTGTGCAGAAATCAGGAGTAAGAGTAAAAATCTACTTTAATACTTTAGTCTGCTTTCACAAATTCCAACTGAAGAGCTGAATATATACAGGTAATGGTATGCACAATAAGGCAGCCAAAAACAGGGCCATCTGAGTGTCTCTAGCCTCCAAAGGCAGAGTGGTAACAGAGCAGAAAGACCCCCGTATGAGTGGCCAGGCAACCCCAGTTCATCCGAGCCCTGCCGCTCACTAGTTTTGAACCTGGGGCAAGCGATTTCTGAATCTTGACACTCTACAGATGGGCCAACTGAATGTGAGAATCAAAGAATAAAAGATGAGATTTCTTCGTAAACTCTGCTTGGTATTTAGAAATCTGGGCAGTTTACTTGAAACACCTATTTGATTTGGACTTGGAGTTATAAAATGAACGGAGGAAAACAAACAAACAAATAAACAAACCCAGAGACACCCAAACTGGAAAGTGACTGAACTGTCTACCTTCGAATGAACACTTAATAATTTGGAAAGGAAGCTCCAGGTGGCTGGCAGAGATTGGCTGCACTCTGCAAAGGGGCAGAGTTTCAACGTTTCCGTAGTCCGCATAGATCACCTTCACCTTGGCCTCCGAGGCCGCCAGAACGATGGCCCGGTACCAGAAATCATCATCTGGAAACACAATGGATCTCAAGTAAGAACTTACATCCAACAGCCCCCTCCCTCTCTTGAGATTGTTATTCACAGTTACACTTACTTCATTTAGAAACTCACACCAGGATATCTGATTTCAAGCCAAAACACCCAGATTAAACATAAGCATCACCTCTATTTTTTTTTCAGATCCTACTAAAAAGACAATGACAGGATTAAAATGAAGAAGATATAAGATCACAAGGATAGAGAACGAGAGAAGACAATGGAATACGGGAAGAGAGAGAGCAGATGCGTGAATGGAAATGACTGAGCAGAGCTCAACCAAAGCTGTAGGGAAGTTAAAAAGCATCCCAGTTTGTATCTCAAATGCCCAGGCAACCAACGTTCATTTAACTGGTGCTACCCATTCAAAAGGAGGAGTAAAGATGGAGCTGAAAATGAGGAATGGGTACAGGAAGCAGTTGCTTCCCAAGCATCCAAACAGACGTTAGTTTATAAACACATTTACACTCTTTTTTAAAGTTGCTACAGAGAATGATCAGTTTTGCGTTCATATGTTTTAGTAAAGCCCAGAATGCCCTCCACCCATCCAGGGAGCTGCTCCTACTCCTTCCCCAGAGAGGATGAGCCCAGCCAACCCTGCCCTGGGGACCAGGAGGCTGAGCAGAGGCGGAAGGTGACCAATGACACATTCGGACAAGCCATGATCTCCAGGCAGGCAACCGCCATCCCACGCAAAAGTTCTCCGAGATGCGACCATCAGAGGAGTCCCCAGTGATACTGCACAGTGGGATCACCCTCTGGTGAAGGCCACCAGTGAACAAGCTCTGGCCACGCAAAAGGAAACTTCCAATTAACTTCTTGGCCCCTCATCTTAAATAAGTGAACAGAAAAGGATTAACGAATGTTTGAGGAAAGTCCCTCACATGAAAGATAAGTCCAAAGCTAACAAATAGGAACTCAAGGAAACAAAGGGAGGAGGAAGAAGACCATGAAATTTAAAAGAACAATACTAACATCTTTGGAGAAATGGCCTTCCAACCTTGAAACAAGATCAAGACAGTATGAAAAACACATGCTTGAGATAACAAACAGAACAGCTATTGAAACTAAAAATATGGTATCAAAAATAAGAAAAGTTTGAAGATAAAATTGAGGAAATCTCTTGCAAAACATTAAAAAGATGAAACAGAAAAAAAGAAAATTTGGCAGAAGGGTTCATGTACAACATTAAAATACTTAAGAGTTCCTAAAAGAATAGAAAATTAAAGGAAGGAGTAAAAGATAACTCAGGAAAATTTCTCAAAACCGAAGTTCATGAAATTCTAGACTTAAGGGCCCATCTAATACTAAGTCACATCATAAAATTCGAAACATAGGATGAGGAGATAGAAAGGTCCAGAAAGAAAAAGGATCTGAACGTCACCTATCTCTCCAACCAGCAACACCAACAACTAAAAGACAATAAAAGGAATGCCTTCAAAATTGTATTGGAAAGATGATTTCCAACCTAGGATTCTACATCTATGAAAGCTATCCACTAATTATTAGGTTAGAATAAATACTTTTTCAAACATAGTAGTTAACCAAAAATGTATCTTACATATATACCTTTTCTCAGCTTCTGGAGAATGGGATATACCCAAACACTAGAGTAAATCAAAAGCCAGCGATCCCGAAAACAAGGTAAGATGAGGGTGGGAGAAGTCTCGCCAATGAGGTGGGGTAGGAGAGAAATCCAAGAAACAAAGGCGGGCGGTACTGCTACAACCTGCAGCACCACGGCGACGGTGACGGAAAAATTCCAGGATGACAGCTCAGGTCTAGAGGGCGAGTAGTCTAGATGGGAGCAGGTGAGACTATGATAAAAGTTGACAGAAGTACATTAAATGTTCACTGGATTTACAGGAGATAATCAGTGAAAGAAGTATACAGAACACCAGTAACAACAACAAAAGTCCGCAAAAGAAAAATGTAATTATAGTACCCTATATGGTTAGGCTGTGAATGGTTGTTATACAATTCTAATAAAGTAATATAGATTATTTAACCTAACCAAAAATTATGACATATTGCTACTGGGAAGAAAAGGAAGAAAAGTGTCAATCCAGCTGTGTCATATAAAAGAAAAACAGAACTAAGCATAATACATTTTAAAATTTTTATTGAATTGTGGTGATAAGCATAATACATTTTAAAACTTTAACTCTAAAATTTAAAAATGAACATCAGTTGGGCAGCAGACCGAAAGCAGGGGAAGACACTGGCCCGCTCAGACTTCTGGCACATGTGGACGAGCCTTTTAGTTGACCTGAGAGCAATATGCTTCCAGAATGGCTTATGTTCTTTGACCCCAGAAGTCTATTCCTAAAAATTCAGCCTACAGTTATTTATAGCTACCCAATTTCTATCCCCCCAAAATTCACTGCAAGCATTATTTATATTAGCAAAAAAAAAAATCTGTTAACATGAAAGAGTAAACAACAATAGAATAAAGTATACCCAGTCCAATGAGCCTGACTCCCCGAGGCATTTTATTCTCTTTTTAAGTACGGTGCTAGAGTTCTACACATTATTTGCAACCCCTCCACAGGTAAATGCAACATCATTGATTCACCATATAAAGTATTGTTATCTAGAGCGGGTTATCTAGAAGTCCTGACAGATTTGTACATTTCCATCTATACCCTTGCCTAAAGATAATCTGCAGTTATGGCAAAGCAAAGCTGAATGACCCTAAATATGAATTACACCTGTGACCTTGTCTCTAATTTCTTTCTCTAACCAAATGAAATGTGCATCTAAAATAGCATGATCCACACAGTCTCCTGCCAAAGGGAACAGGGAAACCCTTCCCCCGTCCCCCCTCCCCACCAGCCCCTTGGAGGAGCCTTACGCGTGTATCTGGCGCAGCACGCGTCTCCCGCTCTCGGCCTGTAGGGCAGCTGGCTCTGCCGGGCGCTGCAATATTCTAGCAGTTCAGCAGTCAGTACACACAGTTTTTCTTGGTCCTCTAAAATACATAAAAACAATCTTTTGTGAAGATTTTTCAATGCTACCATTTAAATATAGTATACAAAAGAATGTCAAATCTAATCCCCCTCCCTCCCCAAAAAACTGTATTAGGACATATATTTAAAAAATAAATAAAACCACTATTGGTTATCTTGTGCAGAAGGGATGCAGTACTGGGAGGGGGCAAAAAGAAGCCTCTGGCGGGCTCATTTGTTGATTGGGGTTGTTATACTAGTGTATTCACTCTGTGAAAACTTAATAAGCTGTAGTTTTTCAATTTTTTGGTGTACTTTTCACTGAAAACTACAGGCATACCTAATTTCATTGCATTTTTTACAAACTGAAGCTAAGACCCTCCACCAGCAAAAAGATTACAACTCACTGAAGGCTCAGGTGATGGTTAGCATTTCTTTAGCAATAACGTATTTTTCAATTAGGATATGTACATTGTTTCTTTTTAGAAATAATTCTCTTGCATGCTTAAGAGACTATAGTGTAGTGTAAACATTATTTTTATGTGCACCGGGAAACCAAAATTTGTGTGACTTGCTTTATATGAGAGTTCGTTTTATTGCAGTGGTCTGTAATTGAACCACATTCTCTCTGAGGTATGCCTACAGTTAATAAAGGAAATACTTCCAATTTGTCATACCATTTGTTGTCATCAGGATTAGATAATTCTAAACCCTTGCTTTCTACTATACAGATTAAAGACGATTATTTGTAATACTGAAGATAAATTTAAGAGCAGTTATTGGCACTGCCACAATTCTAGGTTTGACAATTTGAAACAAAGTTTTATTTTTTTTTCAGCCTTAAAGTACCTGCAAATTATTCTGAATAGCCACTACCCAACTTGTCCTAACTCGCCTTCCACACCACAAGGATAACTCAGATAACACTGAAGGAAAGACTTAATTGTAAACTTCCATGGAAAAAAAAAAAAAGAAAAATTCAAAATATTTATATGCTACTTTTCTTCATGATTAGGTCCAATGTAAAACACTTCTCTAAGTTTCTAAAGATACAGTAACACTATAATTATAGACAATTACAAAGTACTCTTTCGATATAAAAAAGTTTTGGTTCAAATTCTCTTAAATGGCCACAGAAGGTTAACTTAGTGAAGACAATTCAATATAAACAGAACACATTTTTAAACAAAAAGTAAAACAGTAATTAAGGACATTGTTTTCTTACCAAAAGCTGTAGATTATCAAGGCTAGGTTGAACAGCTGCTGAATGCAGGGCATTGTATTCATGTTTACACTTGTGTTTTTATAAGTCAATTTTTTAAAAATTTTTTATTGATTTGAGAGACAGACATTGATTTGTTGTCCCATTTATTTACTCATTCATTGGTTGATTCTTGTATGTGCCCTGACTGGGGATCAAACCCACAACCTTGGCATATCAGGACGATGCTCTAACTGAGCTACCCAGCCAGGGATATAAGTAAATTTGCCTGAAGCGTTACTATGATCAATTCTCCCTTAAAACCTTGAATGAGACAAAATCATTACCCTCCTCTTTGCCCCAATTCCTAATGAGTTCAGATAAGCACTTTGATTTTACATTTAGAAAGATTTGCAGCTACCATCAATAAATCAACAAACAGTAAGTGCTGGTGAGGATGTGGGAAAAAGGGGACCCTCATGCACTGTTGGTGGAAATGCAGACTGGTGCAGCCACTGCGGAAAACAGTATGGAATTTCCTCAAAAAACTAAAAATACAACTGCCTTTTGACCCAATGATTCCACTTCTGGAAATACATCCTAAGGATCTCAATACACTAATTCAAAAGAATATATGCATTCCTGAGTTCACAGCAGTGTTATTTACAACAGCCAAGGTCTGGAAACAGCCTAAGTGCCCATCAGTAGATGAGTGGATAAAAAAGCGGTGGTACGTTTACACAATAGAATACTATGCAGCAGTAAAAAAGAAGGCACCCTTACCTTGTGTCAGCATGGTGACCCTGAAGACTATTATGCTAAATGAACAGAGCCAGTCAGTGAAAGACAAATACCATATGATTTCATTTATATGAAATCTAATGGTATTAGACTGAATACCTAATGGTATTAGGTGGAATCTAATGAACAAAATTAACTGACAAACGCAACAGAAGGAAAAGCGCAGATACATGGAACAGACTGACAGCTGTCAGCGGGGAGAGGGGAGCGGGGACTGGATGAAAGGATCAGCCAAAGACGACGCGTGCGTGACCCATGGACTCGGGCAACAGCGTGGGGAGGGCCTTGGAGGGCGCAAGGGGGCAAACAGGGAAAAAGCGGAAACAACTGTAATGCATACACAATACAATGTAATTTAAAGGAAAGATGATCATAAATAGGTCTCAAATTTTAATTTCTTACCTGGCATCTCATTTGGTAGAGCATAAAATAAGTTTGGGTTTATAATTTCTAATATGCTGGCTTGTACAATTTTATTAACTGGCAATTCTATTGTCCTCCATTGCTCAGTGGAAGAGATGGCTGAAAACATACCAAACACAGGTCTCTATGAAAGAGATCCAATTTAATATTCTTTCCCAGTACTATATTTATTCATTCATTTTTTCATCAACTGCCGATTATCAACATTCCCAAATTCCCAAAGCGCAAATCTGTATTTTCAAAAAACAATCTATTTAATTTGAGGGATTTTGTTTAATTTGAGGGGTACATTACAAAACAGTCCAACCTGTAATGAGAATCCTTGAACTACTGCAGTGTCACAGGCATTGTGCTTCTGTAATGTATTTTCACTTCTGTAGTATATTTAATATTACTCTTAAAATTTATCCAAACATTAAGGGATACATAGCTGTATGATGCAAGTTTATCTGATAAGTAACTATGTTAAAAATAAGTACAATGTTTAATAAAACCATGTTTCATTAAACATATTAAATTAAACCATATTAACTTAACTTTAATAGCCTACTATTAATCTATTTCCACAAAGCATATTTCTACAGGAAAATTGTGTCATTCAGAATAGAGAATTTTTCATAGCCTATAAAAACAAAGAGTAACATAAATTTAAATAACAAATAAACGGCTTAAAAAAAAACAACAAACGTTACCTTGATGCCCTGGGGTGTTGATTTGAAGATCCTGTTTATTGATGGGTCTGTTTTCTGCCGAGTCTTTTTGTGAGCTGGCTTTTAAAACCAGATGTTCCTCAATCAGAACATCACTAATTATTCTAGGATAACAGGCGGAAAGATCGGTGAGTTCAACTCCCACTCCATTCTCAGTGATTTCTACCACTCGGGCTTGGAGTTTCAACCCTGTAACGCACATGTGAAATCTTGCTATGGCTTCCTTAGTCCAATGTTTGTTTCCAGGCTGTATATCTGGCAAACAAAAACAGCATTAAAAAGGATCCTGAAGGTACAATATTTTTTTGAAGTATACTACTGATCACAACATTCGGTATCTTTTTAAGTCAATTTGGTCTATACCTTTCATTCCTGAGGTACCAATAATGCATTTGCAAATACATACTGCTCAGGATCTTTCCTTACCGTCTCCACTACTGTACCTTCACCTGGCATTTTCCCCAATAGGCAAAAATAGGTTATTTCTTTTAGAAGTCACCTTTGTGTTAAGTACAAAACAATGAGTGAACAATTATGCTGGGAAAGGATGTCAACCACACAATTTCACCTTTGTGGACAGTCTTCTAATGATAATTTTAAAATGTCACTTTAACCCTGGCCAGTGTGGCTCAGTTGATTGGGCATCACCCTGCAAACTAAAGGGTTGAGGTTCAACCCCTGGTCAGAGCACGCGCCTGGGTGGCAGGTTCGGTCCTCAGTTGGGGGTGTGCAGAGGGCAACAGACCGATGTTTCCCTCTCACATCGATGTTTTTCTCCCTCTCTTTATCCCTCCCTTCTCCTCTCCCTGGGACCAATAAAAGAAAAAAATTTTTTTCTAAATAAAATGTCATTTTACTTAGCCAAAAACTGTTTCTCTTGGATAATTGTGGCTTATACCTTTATTTGTAACAGTAATTCTCAAACTTCTGAGTGTGCTGTGAATTACCCAGGGGGCTTATTAAAACAGACTTTGGGGCCCCACTGAGTTTTCAATTTAGCAGCAGGTCTTGGATGGGGAAGGAGAATCTGCATTTTTAATACATTCTCATGTTGCCCCTACTTATTTGGGGGCCACATATTAAGAAGCATTGACATAAAACATGGTAATTAAAACTACAATCTGAAACATACTTAGTGAAAAATAAGTAGAAAGAGAACAGAAAAGCAAAAGAACACTTGAAAAGTGTCTGTTTTCAGACATGACCGCTGTTAACATTTTGGTATCCAACCTTCCACAATTTTTATGGAAATACATACTTGTACAAATATACTCATATTTCTTTTATAAAGAAATTTTAATAATAATAGCTATTATGGGTATAATGCCAGGCACTGTTAAGTGCTTTTTGTATTTTTAGCTCTTGGATTCTCCAGGACTCTTTGAGGAAGGTACTGTTACTTTGCAGACTGGAAACAGAGAACGCAGAGAGTTTAAGTCCTCTGCCTGAGGCCTCACGGCTACCAGGGAGCGGGTGGGTTCCGGAGTCGGCCGCCCGAGCACCGTGCTCTCGTCTCCTGCACCTTTCTTAGAGCTTGCTTTCTTCACGTAAATTGTGCACAGTTCTTCATATCAATGACACATATTTACATTATTTTCAGTGACATATAAGAGCAGCAGAAAGTTAAATAGAACTTTCTGAGTGCCAGGCCCTGTTCTAAACATTTCATTAATCCTCACAACCACCCCATGAAACAGGCACTACCATTGTTCGTTAACTGGAGTATCATTTAACCGCTCCTCTCTTACTGATTATTTAGGTTGATTTGCTATTATTAACAGCAAATAATAGCAAATCAACCTATATTTGCTGTTAATAATAGCAAATATATTACTATTTGCCAATAATTGCTCAATTAATGAGTTTCCTTATAGGTGAACTTTGTGAAATTCCAGTTATTTCTCTGGGATAAATTATTAGAAGCGAAATGGCTTCATGAGAAGACATCCCTACTCTGACATCAACAGGAAGTCTGGCCAGGATCTGTAAAAATACACTTTGAAATTTTATACTATAAAGCAAGATCTTCTAACTTAACACAAAATATTATAATTATAGATATTAATACTTAGAAGTTTATGCACTCAAGTATTAGAAGACAGTAAAGAATATTTCTTATTCTGTATCATACCTACTAACCAACACTGTATCCCTTGAAATGGGAGTTTTAAAAATTCCGATGGGATCATTTGGAGTTCATCTGCAGTAACTTCTTCGATGTTTCCATAATCCACAAAATGCACTTTCACGCTTCCATTGAGGCCGATCTCCTTGACTAACGCACGATACCAATTGCCATCACCTAGATTTAACACAAAGTTCATAACATGCAATATTTCCCTTCTATTAATACAGGAAATTTTATCTTGAAAAAAGACATCATTTGTCTAGGAGCTAATAAATCTGCTCTCTTCCACAGATATGCCTTTTACTTTTTCATTCACAACTCCCTAAAAGAAGAGTACTCAAAATCAATATTTAAAATTATCCCCCAAATTTTTACAGCACATTTTTACCTCTGATACAAACTGAAGCTTTCATTCTCCCCCGATCCTTAAACAAACAGATTATGAAGGTAAAACAGTAAACCTGAACGTGTTTGTCAATCTGGGAGACTTCTAATACTCTTGCCACTACTGAGAGATTGTTTCACTTGTTCCTTGGTAAAATAATATAAAAAATAAATAGTAGAAAAAGTTTTGCAATGAAATTAAATTTATTTTCAAAATAAATATGCAGAGGATGGCCAGAAGACAATAAATCTGCAGTAAAGAGATCTTCCATTATTTAATGTGTTTTAATATTATCAAAAATTCTGGAAAGAAAAACATTTAACAAAGTTTAACAAAGTTTAGGTATGCAAGTATCATTTGGAGGTTCCTTGTTACAAAGAGAGAAGAGAAAAACATCATCTTAAGCATTCATTTAAGATCGAATGTGAAAAATAATTGCTTCAACATCAGGAAAAAAATACATATTAAAAATAAGGGTTGATAAAACCTATATAATTTTATTAACCAGTGTCACCCCAATAAATTCAACAAATTTAAATTTGAATGTAAAATTTAAATTTAAATAAAGTTAAAATTCAATAAATAAAAATTGAAATTAAAAAAAAAATAAGGGCTGAATGTCAAGAAACAAAGGTTCTGGTGAAGTCAAGGTTGTACCAGATGCAACGTACCCGCAAAAAAAGCACAACAAGGCTGCCCTATTTGGGCCTTAAAGTCACTGGACAACTTCTGCTGACAGAACTCTGCTAGTGACTTGTTCAAATCGTTGAGTTTCTTTAAAGCTGAAAATACAATACACATATAGCATTTAATATTAAAAAAACATACAGAATATAGATTTTTCTTTAAATCTGGAAAATGCTTTAATCATAAAATCTCTGGGACATCCCTGAACAATTATTAAGTACACCAAATGCTCTCCCCTTCTCCTTATTAAAAAGTTGGGCAAATAAGCCACTGCTTAGTTAACCCTCGCAGTAAGCCCCACACCGATGACTTGCTGAGCACGGCGACAGGACCATGGCATTGTTTTCAGGAAACCAGAGCATGCGCTCTGCATACAGACAAGAAAACAGGGTACAGGCCTGCGCAGAAAGGGAACTTCCACACAAGCAGTGCTGAAGCAATCTACATAGTGTTATGGCACAGGTAATGCCTGCTAGAAAAACCCAGAGAGGGGAGCCCTGTGTGCCCAAAGTTTCACAGAGAACTTCAAAGTCTGACATGTTTGATAGAAAAGGAGAGGGTGTTCCCAAAGGTAGAAATGGCCCTGAGGTCAAGCACAGGATTAAGAATCCAAAAAACACCTGATGGGTCTCTTAGTAGTAACAAGTATTCCCAAATTATGTGAGATGTTAACTGTAGAGGAAACTGGGTAAGGGGAACACAGAAACTCTGTGTACCGTCTTTGCAACTTTTCTATAAATCTCAAATTATTCCAAAATAGACAGTGTAGTCTGGCAAAGCAGAGAAGTGGGAAGGCGAACCACTATGAAAAACACCAGAGACGGGCTTGGAGACACAGACCACAGAGAGCTTCAAAAGGCCAAGGAAAAAGGCCTGAACACGCAGGAAGTCAAAGAAAAACACATATCGTTTAAGTATGCGTCAAAGACCCATTAGCACAAGTGGAAGTCGCCTTTTAGAGGGGTCCAAAGGAGAAAGCTGAAGGGCACACAGTCAGAAACAGCATGGGAAAGGCGCCCTCACACACTGCTGGTGGGAGTGAGCGCATCAGCCTCCCGAAGAGCTGTCTCGCAAAAGCGCAAGCATGCCTCTCCTCTGACTTCATACTTAACGTTAGGAGTTGGTCCCATGGATGCACTCTCAAAACAGGATCACCGAGTGCAAGCATTGTTCGACTAATAAATGCTTGTAAACACTAATCCTCTAGTTGTCCAAACCTAGGTTAATTAAATTAGGATAAATCCACACAGTGGAAAACCGCATAACCATGAAAAAGAATGGAAACAGCAGCAATATGTAATCTTGGATTGGATCCTAGAAAAGTACGCTAGTAGAAATGGACAAGGACATCTAGTGAAATCTAAATAAAGCCTGAAGTTTAGCTCCTAGTGATATACCAATGTTGGTCTCTTAGCTGTAACAAATGTCCAATTATGAAAGATGTTAACTGCAGAGGATGCAGGGTGTACAGGACCTCTTTGTATCATCTTTGGAACTTTTCTGTAAATATCAAATTATTCAAAAATAGGAAGTGTATTAAAAAAAGGGAGAGAAAACGCTATGTGAACTGAAGTCCAAGATAAAATGTGAAGAAAAGAGCACAATGCAAAAATCATATATAGGTAGTGCTTTACCATTTATGCCTACATAAGAAGAGATATATACACTTTTATCCATATAAGCATATGTATAGAGTATATACTCCTGAAAAGCTGTTTAGAAAACTGAGAAGAGGAAATGAAAAACTTACTTTCTATTATATACTCTTTTGTAACTTTTAAAAAAGATTTCGTGTATTTATTTTTTAGAGAGAGGAGAAAGGAGAAAGAGAGGGAGAGAAACATTGATCAGTTGCCTCTCATGTGCCCACAACCGGGGACCTGGCTGGCAACCCAAGCATGCGCCCTGACCAGGAAACGAACGACCTTTGGGTTTGCAGGGGGGCACTCCACCCACTGAGCTACACCGGCTGGGACTCTTTTGTAACTTTTTAATTTTGTACCATGTGCTTGTAAGTCACCAATGAAAATAAAAGTAACTAAAAATATTTTGCATTTTATCTTATATGAAATAGTGTCCTATTTACCAGATGATTCTGAATGAAGAGAGAACAAATCTCACAAACTGGTAGCCAGAAAGGAGCTCAGTTATTTAGTTTAACATCTTCAACTGATGGAGAGAAAAACGCAAGATTCAGAAAAGTTAAACCAATGATACTCATTGGAATGGCTCAAATGAAAAAGATAGAAAATAGTGCTTGTGAGCATGTGCAGCAACTAGAACACTTAAATTAACAACTGTCATATTCACTTTGGAAACTGGCATTCATTGATCAAAGCTGAAAATACACATGCCCTTTTAAGATAGGGCCAGTAATTTCATTCATAAGCACATAATCAATGGAAACACGTGCACACATGCACTAAATTATTACAGAATGTTCATATCAACATCGTTTTACAGCTCAAAACTAGAAATAACCCAAACGTTCAACAGTAGAAACAAATAAGAAACTGCAGTACATTCATACAATGGAACACTATACAGCAACAAAAAAACAACAGTTACATGTAAAAAAATAATAGCCCAGTCTAAAAAACAATGAAAAATAAGCAGCAAGGCACTGAAGAGTACGTGTTGTACAATTCCATTTTTATGTAAGTTCAAAACCAGAAAAATCTAACCTATGCTAGTGGAAGGCAGGATAGTATTTACTTTTGAAAGAGAGCAAGGCTAGTGATAGGAAGAGACATAAAAGAAACTTCCCAGTGCCTGGTAATGTTTAATTTCTAGGCCTACTTGTTGGTTATTCAAGTGTTTTGACTTTGTGATAATTTATGACACCCTTTTATTTGCGCACTTATTTATATGTATGTTGTATTTCAATGAAATCAACAATTTAGGAAACCCGATCGGCATGACTCCGTGGATTGGGCATCATCCCACATAGCAAAAGGTTGGAGGTTTGATTCCTGTTCAGGGCACATGCCTGAGTTGCAGGCCAGGTCCCCAGTTCGGGGTATGCAAGAGGCAACCTATCAGACTACCTATCAAAAAGTTTCTCTCACACATCGATGTTTCTCTTTCTTTCTTTCTCCCTTCTTTCCCCTCTCTCTGAATATAAATAAAATCTTTTTTAGAAAAACTGAATTTAAGAGGCATTCTGTAAAATCTAAATTGATTTAAATATAAGAAGTGATGTTGGAAACAGAAATAAGGGCTTCACATGGAATAAAAGGACTAAATAGAACCAGATCTTTCTTGAAAGTATAAATAACCATTTGGCCCATCTTGGAAAGAGAGTACTTTTATCACTCATTAAACTCATCTTGAATTATTATCTACACAAATGTATTTGTAAAAAATAAAATAAAATAAAATGAATGCAAGAGTCAACTTACCATCCTCTTCAAGCACATGACAATAAAATTCTCCAGGACTGTATATCATACAGACCACAACATCTACTGTTTGGTTAACAGCAAGTCCAACCCATGTCCATGCCAATGGATTTAGTTTTGCTTCTCCATCCAAGGGAACTATGAAAATAAATGAACACCTTGTAAAAAACAAATAGCCTGAGAAATCTGCTTTGGAAGGACCGAATTTTCAATGATTTTCTTAATGAATTTATAAGAAAGTTTACCACTACTACAGTTAACCATTACTGTCCTCAGTGAATTTCACATTTCAAATCCATTCACATTTGCGACTGATATTCAGCTACCCATGACCCATAAAACTTTCAACAGTTTCAGTTCCCAAACACACTCTGAAATGTATTTGGATGAATGCTTGATTTTTTCCCCCCCTAAGATTTTATTTATTTATTAAGGGAAGGGAAGGGAGAAAGAAAGAGAAGGGAAGCATCAAATGGTTGCCTCCCACACGCCCCCAGCCAGGGACCTGGCCCACAACCCAGGCATGCGCCCTGACAGGGAATCGAACTGGCAACCATTCAGTCCGCAGGCCATCTCTCAATCCACTGAGCCACACCAGCCAGGGCTAAATATTTGGTTTAAAAAAAAGCAACAAGTACTCAGCATAATCCTTTGTGAAAGTATGAGAACTCACACATTCACGAAACCATCTGACCTCCAGCATGAACGTTGTCTGGTTGACGTTTTACTTACCACTCGCTTCTTTTATGTCACTAGATTTCTCTGTCACTATCCCCTTCCCCCGGACGGCAAAGCCTGCATCTATGAGAACTTCAGTAACACTGATGTTGGGTGTCTCAGATTTATCTACGAGCTCCACCAGGGAACTGTTTTCCAACTTGTCCACCACTTTCACCGTCATCATTTGGTTCTGTACAACTTTTTTCATCAGACAAATAGCTTCTGGAGTCCAAATTCCTAATGATGGCTTTATTCCTAACAAAGAATTTTTTAAAGTATGTTAAAATATTTCTTATAGTAAGCATTTAGAAATTCCGCTTCTAATTTTCAGAAAGGTATATTTAGGTAACCTGTGACAAACATTGGAACCAAAACCTTCCATCTGAGCAGAAGGAATAAAGGCAAAATTACAAAGAAGCCCGTAAAGAGCTTCCATATGTCTATGTTAAAAAAAAAAAATCCATTGATATGAAATATTCAGAAAAGCCAATCTGTAAAGACAGAAAGTAGATTACTGATTGCCTGGCGTGTGAGGATTAACTATACATGGGAACAAGAGATCTCATTTGGGAGACAGAAGGCTTTGAAACTGGGTTATAGTGATGATTGTACAAGCTGGTAAATTTACTTAGAAAAATCTTTTAACTACATGCCTAAGACAGTGAATTTTGTGGTCTATGTAAATCATGTCTCAATAACATTGTTAAGAAAATAATAAAAGTATAAAACAATCCAGGAAGAAACAGTGGTCCCTTACATTAGTACATGATAAAAACAGTTGTGGCACTTACTGAAAGGGCACTTACAAATCATTAACCCCAAGCTTATGTTTAGTTTATAAAATAGAAGAGCCAGTAACCTATAAAAAAGCATTTGGACGCACTGGTAATAAACCAAATTAAAAGAATTTCATGTTTAGCTTATCAAAATTGGCCAAGGTGAAATAATATGGGCTGGCCAAAAGTTTGTTTAGTTTTTTCCATAAGACAAAAGACACATTTTTCATTTTCACCAATAACTTTCCTGATTTGGCTAATTTGAGTATGTCGGCTATCTCCCGCGAGGCATAATGCTCATTGTTTTCCATTAATGTCTCAATTTGATTGCAATCAACTTCAACTGGTCTATCTGACTGCGGAGCGTCATCCAGCGAGAACTCTCCAGCACAAAACTTTGAAAGCCGCTTTTGACATGTTCAGTCAGTCATAGCTCTTTCTCCAGGCACTGCACAGATTTTTTTTTTTCTCATTTCAGTTGAGTTTTTACCTTTCTTTAAATAATAAAGCATAATGTGCCGAAAATGTTGCTTATTTTCTTCCATCTTCAGTATTAAAATGGCTATACAAGAATTCACCAATTTTGGTTACTTTTTTTTTTTAATGTACACCGATATGACAGCTGTCACAATACAATTGAACAAGACTGTTTCAAATGAAGTTAAAGCCAATTAAACACTACTAGAGCCATCTTACAGAAAAAAACAGATGAAACTTTTGGCCACCCAGTACCTATTTGGTGCACCAACGTGTGAAGGAATTCACCACCTCCTGCCTTTCTGGTAGGGGCGTCGACCAGTTCAACCCCTTGTGAAGAACAATCCAACATGGAAAGAAGCATATCCACTGAGGCCTTCATTACTCCTAAGGACATATTTTGCAACATACCTACATCTTGCAACCTAGGTTAAGTAAATCATCTTGGAGGGGTTGTAAAATGTAGGTAAAAAACACTGTTAAAAACAAATACTTGGAAATAACTAGTTAATTTAGGGCACATTTAAATGAAGGTTATAGGGGCCACGTACTGACACGGAAAGAAGACCCTGCTGTGAGTGGGACAAACTGCACATACAGCAGTTTCCAAGCACATGCTGCAACATTCATGTCGCTTTTATAAGCAGGATTCCCTCTACTTCATGTAGTTCATAGGTTTCCATGATATTAATGGTGCAGGCTCCATAAATAGCAAGAAAAATCCCCGCTCAATTTCATAACAGTAAATTTTGTTTTATTATAGTGTTTCCTAAATGTTCTATTAAGAAATATTTTTATGTGAAGATAAGTTACATCTGAATACAGTCTTTTATCTTATCAGTAGTTTAATTTCAATTCTAATACCACTACTTGTAGTTTTAGTAGCTTAAGAATATGAGGATGGTAAAAATGTCCTACCTGCCAGCACACACTTTATTGCCTGCATGGGCAATTCCAGCAACTTCGGAGTTATGGAACACAGTCTTTTCAAACTAAGGATTTCAAAATTCCCGTAATCTACGTATCCAACCAGCACAGATTCTTCAGATGCATAAGCCAAAACGGAGGCCCGGTACCACTGGTCATCCTCTGAGAAAGGGAGACTCAGTTTCAAAATTATTTTCCCATGTAGCTAGAAACCAAACTCTTCTTCCCAAATTTAGAAATGGTCCTTTGTGCATTTTAATGTTGAGCTTCATAATTACTCACACTCCTATCTTCGCTTAACAGAAGCCTTCAACTCCTACAGTGTCACCTTTATTCTCACCTTACTGACTACTCACGCTGTATGTATGCTGTCATTATTTATTTCCATGCCTTGTCTGCCTAGTAGACAGCTCATTAGGACAAAGACCACGTTTGGTCATGTCAGTCCCCTACGTCTTGTTCAGTACACGGACCATTTGCCAAGGCATCAAACAGAGCTAATGTCAGAATGCCTGGCAGCATGAGTGAGCCAGACGCCACCGACCCATGAACCCTTTCCCGGAGGCCTACTTGTACCTCCCCTCCTGTGAGGCTGCTGGGCCTCCGTCAGCCGAGAATCGCAGAACCGAGGCATCCAAGGCCAGGCCTGCGCAGTTACTTACACAGGCTGAGCCCCGACAGCTCTGGGCTGCCAGGCTGGCCCTCTGGCTGTTCCAAAGAACGCTGGTGAGGACATGACCCCCTACCCCCACCCCCTTCGCGTGCTGATGTAAACGGAGTTATCTGCACCAGTGTCCAACAACTGCGGGGCTGATAAAACAGTAAAACCTCCTTTCCTCACTCCGCGCCCCCCGCCGCCACTCTCTCTCGCACAGCCCCTGTTGCTTGCACACTTCTGTTTAGTTTAATTGGACATATTTAAAAACATAATCAGTGCACTTTATTACTTGTTTCAAATAGAGCCATCATGTGAACTGAAGAGTCCATCTCATCTGCATGTACTTAACTCTAGTGAAGAACACAGCAACGCTCTCCTTCCTTACCCGAGAACTGGGCGCAGCAGAGGTCGCCGATGGCTGGGTAAAAATCCGAGCGGGGAGACATCCGACCACAGTACTCGCGAAGGGAGGCCTGAAGTTCGGCCAGCTTATCTGCAGGTATAGATCACTTCTTAAACAAAAGGAATGCACATCTACACATTATCTTCATTTTTGCATGTTGAATCTCCTGAATTATATTATCTGGACAGCACAAATTGAGAAGATTTACTTACATCCACTTTGTAGTTTTTGACAAAAGAAGTCTTCTGGAGTCTGAATGTGGGAAACCACACCATAAAACTCATCACCTATGTTCAAAGTTAACACTTTGGGGATTAAGTCTCTCTTGTCTACTACAATTTTGTTCTCAGCTGTCATTTTTCCAACATCTTCAGGCTCACCTTATCAGAAAACAGAAAAATAAGTCACGTTGGTTTCAATAATCCAATTTTCCAGCTTTTCAGGCCCAACCACGCTTTCCGCACCTCCAGGCCTTACCAGGTGCTGTTCTCGCCCTGCTCCCTTGCCAAAGTCCTCCCAGTCGCCAGCAGCCTGATAATTTCTTGCTCGGTGGGGTGTCACTCTGAAAAGGCTCCTCTCCAAGTCTGGAATTAGGAGCCTTTCCCAGGTGCTCCCCGCCTGCGCCCTGCACATCCTCATTCCCACGGTGTCTGTGTCTGTGCTGCACACCCCCATGGTGCAGTAGCAAAGCAGGTGTTGCTCAGTGGTTCCTGTTCCTCCCGCCGATACCTCTGCAGCATCTGCTACTACTGCGACTGCCTCCCAGAAGCCTCTGCCGTGCTGGCGCTCCGGCAACAGTTCCCCCATGCTCCTCCCGTCCTGCCCAGCATGGCTTCTCGTGCGATGGCGTAGGCCCCCACTGTCCTTCCTCACTCCATACTTTCCCAAAGACACCACCAACGCTTCTGGTTTCAACCATGACTGCTATGAAACCAGGAAGTGTTTGGTTTTTCTTCTCTAGATGGCAAAGCACTACTGAAAGCTTTTAAGCAGAGTTGTCACACCAAAATTTGGGTTTTAGAGATGTCATGTAGGCAGTAGTGTAAGAATACAGACAGGAGACAACAAAATAAATAAATAAAAATCAAAGCATTGTTGTAATTGTCTTGAATGTTAAGGATTCCTGAACTTAAAAAAAAAAGGGGGTTAATAGGAAAAGAAAGGAAAAATACATACAAAAAGGATACTTGGGGGGAAGAATCAGTAACTATTTCACAACCAAGCAGAGCAAGAGATGTGAGGTGAAGGAGAAGGTAGACTCAAGAACTAACTGTTTGTTTATATGATCAGATGAGTCTAATCATAGCATCATTAATCTAGAGATCACCTCTGGATTAATGTGCAGAAACATGCTAGAACTTATGTGTATGACCCATGGACATGAACTAAGGGGGGGACTGCCAGGGGGAATGGGGGATCTGGGTGGAGGGGGACAAAGGGGGAAAAATTGGGACAACTGTAATAGCATAATCAACAAAATATATTTAAATAATAAAGTAGCGTCATGCGCTTCATAACAATGTTTTAGTCAATGATGAACTGCATATACAACAGTGGTCCTGTGAGGTTAAGAAGTTGAAAAACTCCTGTGACGCTGTAACATCGCAGCACGATGTCCTGCTCCTGAGTTTGTGCTGAGGCTGCTGGAAACAAACCTATGAGTGGCCAGTCGAGCACAAACCATTACAGCGCAGGCTACACCAGCTAGGTTTCTGTAAGTACACTGCGTGATGTTTGCACAATGACAAAAATCACCTAACGACACATTTCTCAGAACATACCCCTGTGGTTAAGCTGCACCACCCTGTAACTGGGTGTAACTGGGTGACTGTAACTGGGAAAGGAGAAAGCAGACGACAGGAAAGGACCCATAGGACTAGGCAGTGAGAAAATAAAATGCTCCTGGCAAAACTGGGTCCTCACTGAAGTAAATGAAAAGGACACACATGCAAATAAAAGTAAAAAGTTAAAATGAAACACCATCCTACTAGGACAGAATGTTACAGCCCTGTTTATTAATACCCAAGTAAGGAAGAAAAACAAATTAAACTGAGGAAATGTTAGCTAAAAATCCCTCAACCCAAAGCATTATGATACTTAGTGCTTTTTAATCTCTGATGATTGTGCTGTCAAGGATTAATCTGAAAGATCGGGAAAAACCTAGGCGGGGAAGACTGAGAATACAAACAGGTACTACTAAATTTGAAAAAATCACCTTTCATGTACAAAGCTTATAGGATGGTTAGCATTTCCATTAATCTGACGCTGTGATGGCTGTGTTTTTTGTTTAGTAGAGAAGATACTCTTCAATAACTAAGTTACTATCCTGTTCACTATTAATGTGTATACTCACTTTGGTTTGCGCTTTGGTTCTCAGAATTTTGTCCCTCAGGTATCAAGCCATACCCCATTTCTACAAGCAAATGGTCTATGAGTTTTCCTAAAAGTGATTAAGAAAACAGATTGACATTGAGATATATACTAAATATTAAGGAAAAGCATAAATATAAAACAAATGAGTCATAATTACACGATTTAGAGATCACAGCTATTAATACAGTAGCATATTTCTTACTAGTTCAGTTTCCATGTACAAAATATGTTTTAGTAATTCTCAGCTTTAAAAGTTAAGACAAAATTCCTATGATCACTTGACAAAAGTTCATGAAAAGATTTCACTTCAAAATTCTGATTAACATGAAAGATTAAGCACCTCCACACTGGTGGGCTTAGAAAGACCACCATTTATGAGAAAAAAATGAATTGAAGGCACAAGACTACTACTTCTCAGACACGAAACAAGGCTGAAACAAGGATCAGCCAGCACTTCTAGTTCTCCAAGGTCATCATACACATACATACCAATGAAACAAAACATAGATTTTTATACTTAATTTTACAACAGAATTAACTGCATTTTCTACCAAGTCACCAACCGACCCTGACCCTCTAAACGTAGAGGAGTAGTACCTTGGAGACTGAGAGGCAATTATAAGCACACCATTAAGAAGACCCTTTTCAAAGAGCCACAAGGCCAGGATGGTAGAGCAGGATTCCAAAGTGTTTCCATTTCCACAATGTGAACACTACGTACTTACAGTCTCGGTGCTAACAAAATACAGTTCCGAGAAGGCTGTTCCAAGAAAAAGCAACGATGATAAAAGAATGAATGAATTCATAGAGAAATTTCTGAGCTCCTCAGGAAAAGAGCAGAAATTAGGAGTCAATACTATTATGGCTATATTAAAAGGATAATGTAGTTATCCCACACAAAGTCTAGATCTAGCCTTTTAAACCATTCAGTTTTATGAATGTGTGCCATGTCTGTAACAAATGCCACCTTCAAGGGCAGGGCCAAGGCCGTGTTTTCAATCACAGCCTGAATGACCCCTGAGCAGAGCTTACTGGACCTCACTTCATGTTTCTAGTCCTTCTCTGAGTAACAGGCAGATACTAAGTAAGATATTAAGCACTCCATTTAAAAAGAAAGAGACGAGTCTCACCTGAACCGGGCAGCATAATATCCACAGCAAAGGTAACCACTTCCTCTTTTAAGATGTCAACAATCTTTACAGAGCAGTACTGCTCCATTAACAGTGATTTAATAGTTTTGATACAGTCATTGCTCCAATTCCCCTCTGCTGGGATAACGCCAGCCACAAAGCACTTTATGGCCTGAAAAATTGTGCACAAGTTACTTAAAAAAAAAAATCAGTATTTGAAAATGACTTTTTCTAATTAATTACATGATGATTTTATAAGATAATGTATTTCCTGCAGAAAAATTATCAAAACTCTTCAAAAGTAGTAAACAAACAAGCAATTTTATGTGTACTAATTTTTTTCTTTGGGTACTCTATTCACAATGCTTTGATTTTTGAGACTTGAAGCTTGAGAAGTTAAAAAAAGGAAAATAATTATCCCTCAATTACACATTAATTCAAGTCACTTTCAAATAATGTAATAAATATAAAAATGATTACTTTTAGTTTTTATTTTTAAAGGTTTTATTTATTTATTTAGAGAGAGGGGAAGGGAGGGAGAAAGGGAGAGAAACATCAATGTGTGGTTGCCTCTTGCATGCCCCCTATTGGGGACCTGGCCTGCAACCCAAGCATGTGCCCTGATTGGGAATCGAACTGGCGACCCTTTGGTTCACAGGCTGGTACTCAATCCACTGAGCCACACCAGCCAGGGCAAAAAATTATTATTTTTATAGAGCAGATTGATAAAATGTGCCTAAAAATGCTAACAGTAGCCAAGAAAACCAATGAGTGTTTATGTATAAAAGGATATGCCAATTGGCACTAGTGGCAGGATAGAACAAGCAAATACTGTGTTCATCAAAACATTAAAAACAGCTCCTTTGGGATCCTATTAGGAATTTACAAAGTAAAAGAGACTCACACAAGGAGGAAACAAATCAATGTTTTTGTTTAGTTGCTGGATTCTGTTTACTGGAATTACTTCTTCATTTCCATAATCAATATATAAGACTTGTGCCTTCTTTTGCAGCACATCAACATCTTGTATTATTGCTCTGTTCCAGGTCTGAAATTAAATAAAATGGTACTCTACTTCAAAACAGCATCTCACAATCTTGGTTTAAAAATTCTCAACCAATTTATAGAGCGCGCAAAGGAAAGGCTATTATTCTACGTCAGGGCACTCAATTAACAAGTTAACATAATTTCTAATAATCTTGCTAAGAAATCCCTAAACTTGTCTAATTAGATCACTTTAATATCCACAAATATTGCCAAGCTATTCTAGTCCAGCAGACTCCATGACACACTGCTGGTTCAGCTATGCAAACAAACACAAGCTCTACGGCTGGCAATCAGTCTGCAACCAGCTCTCGAGGAGCCTAGGAACAGAGCCAGAGCCCGAGCCAGCTAGCACAGCTCTGGAGGAAGTAACCCCGCAGAGCCTGGAATACTGCCAGAGGAAGAAATACAGAAGTCTGACCAGTCTTGCTTTAAGCCATCTATTGCATCATTAAAAGCTCTGGTGTCAAATTGACAGGACCGAAGTAAAGTAAGACATCTTATTAAATAATTCATTTCAACAGACGTTACCTGGTCCACAGTGTACTTGGCAACACAAATTTCCCCCTTAACAGGAATATAATCATCCTCATGCGTTGTGTTTGCATATGCTTCCTTTAAACTTGCAGAGAGTTGGTTCATGTACTCTATAACTTCTGAAGAATATAACTGCACGTAAAAGTCACCTGGGTGTCTGAATTCAGTAACTGTACCCTTTCCAAAGACAGAAAAGATGTAATAGTTCACTGGGAACATAAGCAAATGTGAATTTATTAAAGCTTTATAACTAAGATACAAGCGTCTCAGTTTTTGCAACCTTTATCAATTTCATCAGATTATATCTTGTAGCTACCTTATGAATTCAAAATAGAAAACAAGGAAATAAAACCTATAGTTCTTTGGATCACTGCCTGTGAAAATTAAACACAAATACCTTTATTTCCATGGTTTTCTTGAGTTGCAGACTTCTCAAATCAGAAAACATTATTTTATCAGCACAAATGGATATTTCTTTAGTAACTCCAAGTGGATAGTTACTCTGGTTTGAAAAAAACACATAAGTGAGTTACATATATGCACATGTTTCAGTGATACTGTGGCCATTATCTGCTGGAATCAAGGTCAAAACAGCCTGACACTTAGTTTTGAATAAGAGAATAGTATATACACTTCAAAAGTCTCTAAAATTCACTGTCCACAGGCAATGCACACAGCACCGGGATGACCCAAGAATCATGCCATGATGATAAAGATAATGTTGAGTTTGTTAAAACAGGCGGGGGTGGTTTATGTTTGCACTTGGTAATATTTTTGGAGGAATAACTATTTGAGGCAGACGATATATATATATATATATATATTTTTGACAGGGTCTGAGAATTCATGGTTTATTACAGTTCAGCACAGCAGTCCCTGGTTGGAGACCGCCTTTCTGTCCCCTCACCCGGGGACTTGTCCCTAAGCACAGGGGAAAGAGCTGTCCTGTCTTCAAACAATACCTACTCCTACCCTCCTGCACAGAATAGAACTCCCAGGAAACCTTGAGACCTGCACAGACAATTTTTTAAAAAGTACCAGCCAGATCAGGCTAAAAATGATTTATAAATGAGTTGGGCACAACCAATACTCTTCAGATTATGAACGATTTAGTTTCTGTTTATCTGAACAGCCGAAAGGTGTTAATAGAAAAAATGTTCATTGGATAAGGGGGCCCCATTAGAATCCAGTACACAAGGCTAGAGAAGGTGCAATGCAGGGGCTGCGAAGAAGGGACTGTCTCTCTAGTTCACGCGGTTTTACACTGAGAGAAAGGCTGGGCGAAAACAATTCTCAATGACCCCAAATCAATCACTAGAGTGTACAGATTTATTCAGAAGGAAACTTTTGTTCTTAAACAAACACTGGTGAAATGTAGAAATAAGTCTATATCATACCTCATTTTTCACTTCCACGTTCTTTGCTTCAAGAGGTGATTTATCTTTAAATTTGTGGAAGCTGAAATAAAGCAATTGATAATAATATAGTACAGAGCCAGTTAAGAGCAAGGGCCACAAGAGTGTTAAATTCTCAACCAACAAAATCCAGAAAAACAGCTTCTTCCAGATGGAATCACACTAGTAACAAAATAAAATCACTCAGAGCTGTCTATGCAATGGCCTGTCCTGTGCATAGTGCTTCTTCCGAAAGCCGCTCCATGAAAGGGAGGAGCCCGGTCTCCAGGCCTTGGGTTTCTTCTCTGCAACATGGAGGTGACCCTTCCCACATCCAAATATAGTTTTGAAGATCAAATGAGGTTATATATGTGAAACTGTTCGGTACACTGGTAAATAGCACACAAATAAGATACATGTATTTCAAGATCATAATCCAAGAAGCACTGTGAGAGTTCTATCTTAGTAAACTTGAGTTCGGTGTATATATAATTCAAAGGGCTTTTTAAAGCTCTAATCATTTTTTAAAAATCACTTAAGGTTTTAACTCTTAATAGGTCCATCCTAATAAAATTTATTCATGAAAACTTGTAGGTTTATAGAGCTGTTGTTCACTGCAGATTTGTACACTTTGCGTTTTACCTTAATAAGTACAAAGTAATAACTTCTACATGGTTATGGCCTGCTTACCTGATTTAATCTCTGTATTATCAGAAAAATCGTTTACATATTCCCTGCTGAATAAAAACATGCCCACTTACTTGTGCTGCACAGGTTTGCACACGATGCTGTGCGCTGGCCAGTCTCTTCTCTGGCAAGCCACGGAGCAATAGTACGTCTGCTTGCACTGTGAACACCTCAGCGACCCTGCAGAACACGGCCCATAACATTTTATTCCAAATATTTGTGGCCCAGAGTTAAGACATTTTCAGAGATGAGACATACCAAATAGCATTCTACAATCACATCAAGAATACTTGAAAACGCTTATGCTGCTTATAATTATTACAATTAAACTTTCAAAGCTCTCCCAAAACGCACAGAAAGGGGGGTGCAAAGATGGAAATGAGAGGGAGGGCAGACTGCAAACAACTGACTTCCCTAAAGTGGAGTCCAGAACATATGTTATGAAAGAACCACCAAAGGAAAGAGAAAATCTGTGTCAGTGAACACAGACTCGTGCAAGCAGACTCTGACATGGCTTACGTCCAGCCATTAAAAAAAGTACAAAACAAAAACCAGTGAAAAGAATCATAGCTACAAAAACCCAGGAAGTTGTTGAAATAAAGTATTTTGAAAAATCCTATCAGTATGCAGGCCAAAAAAACCCCCCAAATTATCTTAAAAAAACAAGAACACCCTCCCCCTGTCCCCCATCCCAGCAAAACCAAGCTGGCCTCAAACGCCTCCACTCTTAAACAGGGAAAAAAAAAAAAAAAAGAAAGAAAAACCAGAGGCACTAAATATCCACATATCCAGTAAGAATATGAAAAACTACCCTAGATCATTGATTATGAAGAAATGCAAATTAAAACCACAACAAGATACCACTGCACACCCACAAGAAAGGCTAAAATTTAAAAGACGGAAAACCCCTAATGTAGACAAAGATATGAAGGGACCGTAATTCATTACCAATGGGTATGTAAAATGAGACTACTTTCAAAAACAGCTTGGTTGTTTCTTACAAAGCTGAACACACACCTACCCTTTTGACTCATCGATTCTCTCGGGTATGTACCCAAGAGGACTGAAACATATGGCCACACAATAGCTTGTACAAAAATATGCAGAGCTCTATTTTCATTCTTGTATAAATACAGTCAAAAAACGGACACAGTGAAAGGTTCCAACAAAAGGACAGATAAACACTGTGGTGGCTCCAGCCAGGAAGTGCAGATGGTTAGGGAGTTGTCCCAATAAGCCGCAGTTGTGGGTTTGATCTCCAGTCAAGCACATACAAGAAACAACCAATGAATGAATGAATAAGTGGAATGACAAAGTGAAGTTTCTCTCTCTCTCGAAAAACAAATAGGAAAGCAAACAAAAACACAACAGACTGGTATCATAATACAACGGAATACTACTCAGCGATGAACACAAAAATTATTAGTGTACATGTAATAACATGGATGAATTCCAAAAATACCATTCTAAATGAAAAAAAGCTTTATTTAAGAGTCCATGGTGTATGATTCTACTTATATGAAATTCTGGCAAAATAATATATGGTGGAAAAACAACAACAGTGATTGACCCTAGGCAGTACAGTGACTAGGAAGGGGCATGAGGAAACCCTCTGAAAAGAAGGAAATATTCTGTATCTTTATATGGGTGTGGGTTTGTGCATTTCAATGCATGGAAGTTTTATCTAAAAAGAACTATTAAAAATAGTCAAATAAAGCAGCAGCAAGAATGGGTGAGTACAGATGAACACATGGTATATGTTGATGGCTGGGTATATCATGTGTATATACTATGCTGTTCTGTTTATATGTAATATATTTTAAATTTCCTGTAAAATATTTGTCAAATGTGTAGAGGAATAATCTAACACAACCGAGAGCAACGTGCTTACCAAACAGGCCACAGCGATGGCAAGTAGCTGACCGAAAAGGAGGTCCTAAGGAGTTGAAGAGCGCTGGATTATTTATGGACAAGGTATTCTGACCCAACTTGTACATTTTTTTTGACTTTGCAGGAGACACATTATTGCTAGGCTTCTATTAAGAAAAGAGAATAGCAACATTAAAATTTGGTAATACCATTTAAAAAAATACTAGCTTTGGAATTTCCTCTTCTGGGAAGATAAAGATCTATGTTTCCCTCCTCTTCCCACAAAGTACAACTAAAAACCCTGGACTTACATGTAAAACAAATGTAAGCTGACTCGGAAGGCAGGCAGTGGACAGGCTGGGGACCCCTGGGACCCACGGAAGGACGTGGCAATGAGTCCCTGAGCTCTCTTTTTGCCTCCCATATCCCAGATACATGGAAAAGCCAACAGCCCGGAAACTCTAAAAGGTGCAGACTCATAACCCCGACCAAAAGCTTGCTCCTGCTAGTCAAAAGACCAGGAAATGGGCAGCCCAGCAAGACAAAAAACTTTCATCAATAACTACAGTACTCTAGACAAACACCACAGAAAAAACTGTGGTCCCACTTCCACCAGCAAAGGCAGAGTGGGTAGCTGAGACTCCCCCTTCACCAGGCAATAAGGAGGTGCCCACCCTCCTACCAGGAAGGCCGACAGAGTAGGACGCCAACACTTCATCTCTGCAGGGTTTCCCTGTGGAAACCACATGGGAGCCTGGACTTCCATCTGGCAGAAATGAGCATCACGTCCACACCCTAAAGAAGCCACTACTGGGGTGGTGTTAGAGGACACTTAGCGGACAGTCAGGACTTTTTTGCCACCCTTCAACAGTAATGAGTGTTTCCAAATCCTCCCACCTCTGCACATCCCTCTGGCCTGCCTACTCTTTCCCCACCTCACCCCACCCTCGCCCCGCAGCAAGGAAGAACACCCTCTTTGTGTCAACTGAGGCCAAATGGGGAGCCTGGACAGCTACTCCCACCTGGCAGCACCCCCTTCTCCTGATGGAGCAGTGTCAGAGGAAGGTGACCAAAACAGAACTTTTAAATAACATACAGAGTGGCATAATATAATACCCAAAATGTCTCAGTTTCAACAGAAAAAAACTGTCATACCAAAAACCAAGAAAATCAGAAGTGAATTAAAAAAATGAAAAGATGCCAACATCAAGATGACAGATGTTAAGTTTATGTGACAAAAATTTTAAAGGAGCCATCAATACTTCAACAAGCAATTATGAACATGCTTAAAACAAAGGAAGAGAGGGTCTCAGAAAATAAATATTACATATAAAGAAGAACCAAATGAAAGTTTTAAAACTGAAAGTACAATAATGGAAACAGAACAGGTGGGCTCAACAACAGAATGGAGGGAACAGAGGAAAGAAATAGTGAACCTGAAGATCAGACTATTAACTTGCCTAATCTGAACAAGGGAGAGAAAAGAAAGTCAGGGAAGATATAAATGAGCAGAGCCTCAGGGACCTATGGGACTATAACCAAAGGTCTAACATTCATGTCTCCGAAGAGCCTCAGAAGAAACAGAGAAAGAAGGCAGGGCTAAAGAAGTACTCAAATAAATAAAGACCAAAATTCCCATAATTTGGATAAATCTACAAATTCAAGATGAGCAAATCTCCAAGAGAATAAACTCAAAGAACTACATACCAAGACATACCTTAGTCAAATTTCTTGAAGACAACAAAAAAGCTTACAGAGAGAGAGAGAGAGAGAGAGAGAGAGAGAAATGACATCTTACATACATAGATGGGAAAAACAGTTCCAAGAACAGATTTTTCATCAAATACCACAGAGTCAGAAGGAAGTGACATGAGTTTTTGAGTGCTGAAAGCAAAGAGATGTTAACTAAAAAATTTGTCTAGGAAAATTTCTTTCAAAAAATGAAGAAGAAATCAACAGATTCTCAAATAAAACTAAGAGATTTGTGTCACCAGCAGACCTATCCTAAAAGAATGGTTAAAGGAATTTCTCTAAACACAAAGGAAATGATAAAGGAAGAAATATTAGAACAAAAGATTCATGTACAGGACTTATAAGCTGAAAACTGCAAAGTGAAAAAAAATAAAGAAAATCTAAATAAATGAAAAGACAGGTTTGTGTTCATGGATTATAAGATTCCACAAGGTAAAGATGCAAATAATCTTCAAATTGATGTATATGTTTAATACAATTCCCAGCAAAATCCCAGCAAGATCTTTTGTAGACCTAGACAAGATTATTCTAAAAATGTATACCAGTAGGCAAAAGAACTACACTAGCCAAAAACAATTTGGAAAAAGAAAAATAAAGTGGGAAGAATAATTCTACCCAACTTTAAGACTTATTACATAGCTCCAGTACTGTTTGGTATTGAGGAGGACTATTCCCCAAAGCAACAGAAAAGAACAGAGAATCCACAATAGTCCCACACAAATATGACCACTTTTTGAGAAAAGTGCAAAAGCAATTCAGTGGAAAAAAGAATTTTCAACAAATGGTGCCAGGGCAGCTGGACATACCTAGGCAAAAAATAAAAAAATAAAAGTGTCAACCTCAACCTAAGCCTTATAACTTAAAATTAACTCAAAATGGACACCAAACTTAAATATAAAATTTAAATAAAACTTTTTGGAGATAACCTCAATTTTTTTCTGCATCTAAAGTAGAACTCTAAAAGCATAATCCATTATAGGAAGAGTTGACCAGGACTTCATTTAAATTGAAAAACTCTGCTGTGCTAAACACCCCATTAAGAGAATGAAAAGACAAACTACAGACTTGGAGAAAATATTTCTGAATCATATATTTAACAAAGAACTAAAATCTGGAATATATAAATAACTTTCAAACCTGAGCAGTAAAAAAGTAAACAACACAAATAAGAAAAGGGACGAAAGACATGAAGAAACATTTCACCAAAAGGGATGCACAGATGGCAAATAAACGCATGATAAGACGGTTATCATTAGCCATTGGGGAAACTCAAATGGAAACCTCAATGAGCTGTCACTACAGACCTATGAGAATGGAGAAAATAAAAATACTAGTAGCAGCAAATGTGTTGAAGATGCTGGATGCAGAAAAACTAGGTCACTCACACATTCTCAGCGGGAATGTAACAGGGTAAGACAGCTTCTTTAAAAAACAAATACGCAACTACTATACAATCCAGAAATTGCACTCCTGGGAATTTATCCTAGGAAAAAAAAATCCTTATGTTCACATAAAAACCTGCATCAAACAGCAGTTTCCGTTGTATTAGCTCAAAACTGGAAACTATCCAGATGTATGCACTTCAATGCAAGAATGGTTAAACGTCATGGAATATTACTCATCAATAAGAAGAGTCGAACTGTTGAGACAGCCAACAACCGACATGAATCGCCACAGAATTACACTGAGTGAAAAAGTCCAGTCCTCAACTGATTCCATTTATGTAACATCCTAGAAATAACAGTATTTTGGAAATAGGGATTAGACAGACTACTGGCTGCCAGGGGTCAAGGAAGGAAGTAAATGTGGCCATAAAAAAGGCACACAGGGCTCCGTGCAGTGATGGAAATGGTCTGTGATCTCAGTGTCCGTCAATAGCCCCGCTGCGGTACAAATACCACAGGCCTGCAGCCTGGTACCGCGGGGAGACTCTCGGCGAAGGCAAATGGAGCAGGAGCTCCATTATTTCTTACAACGGCAGGTCAATCTACAATTACCTAAAAAGAAAAGGCTGGTTTTTTAAAAAAAGGTACTAGGTTAAAGAAAAGGAAGTTTGACCTCACATAATACCTGAATATTGAATAGTTCTTTATTAATGTAATACAAAAACAAGTTTAGAGTCTTTTACCCAACAGAAAAACCAAATAGAAAAAAAAAAACCCAACAACCCATAACTTACACTATTTGCTTCTTCGGGTGGTGAACTATTTCCAACATTTAATGGTGACACTGAGTTTTCTGGGGAGGAAAAATATAAAGCCTAATAAAAGCTGAATATTAACTTATTCCTGAAAATGTAAAATACCATAATTAAGTAATGTTAAAATAATAAAGCTATACTACAAGTCTTAATCCTACACTGTAAATATTTGTCTGAAATTTCCTTGACTACCATTCTTCTCATTGTGAACTTTTCTCCATTCACTAAGAGAGTACTTCTCAGACTTCCTGGACTTGGGGCTCATTTACACTCACAGAAATCACTAAGGACCTCAAAGAGCTTTTGTTTATAGGGCTTATTTTATCAATATATACTCATTAGACATTAAAGCTAAGAATTAGAAATTTCAACTAAGAATTTAAAAATATTTACTTTAAAAACGACATATGCATTACATGTTGACATAAGTTTTGAAAAAAGAAAAAATAACCAAACTGTATTTTCCAAAGGAAAAAGACTGTGAGGAGTGGCACCTGTTTTCTACATTTTTGCACATCTCTTTGGCTTAACCAATGACAGTTGGATTTGAGTATCTGCTTTCGCAATCTGTTTTAATGTGTTGCTTGGATTAGAGTACCTGAAGAAAATCTGGCCTCAAACAGATACATGGTTGCAAAAAAAGAAGGATTTAATGGTCTCCTCAGACAACTGTGAATATTTTCCTTTAATTTCACACCAAAACTCACGTGGTATTTTAAGGGTTAGTTACAATGTGGCATCTAAAACCACATCTATAAACTTTTCATACTTGCATTAGATACAGTGATTTATCTCGCACTCGGAATGCATTTTACCCACGCGTGACCACGCAACATCATGCACAGGGCATTCGGAAAAGAATGAGAAACCCTGAGTCATGCAGAGCTTCCAAAAGTTGACACATTTCATGACGCCAAAAAGTGTTAGTGCCACCATGCATCTCACCAAAAAAGCCTTTAAGTACTGCGAAGCTGTCAAGCTCAGAGTGATATAGGTTTCCTATAATTCTTAATTTTGCTTGAAAACTTGAACTTTATTTTTAGCAACAAAGTATTGTCAGCTCTTTTCCTTGAAGTGACAGGCTCACTTAGCTCATTTTTGAGAAAAGGACTGTGCGATATCTAAGTCTGGGTACCCATAGTTTGTCATTCTTTTCAAGTAAAAATAATGTTCCTCCCAAAAAGGTTTTCATCCAGCCCACAATTCAATCACACCCTTACTTTTCCTACTCAATACGCAACAAAGTGAGGGAGATAATGCCCGTTTTGTCACACAAAACACCGGTAAACCAGGGTCGAGATTTATTAGTAATTCATCCTGCTTCATCAAGGACATTCTTAAGTAGAACTGTCTTCTGTGGTTTTGTCTTAACTACAGGTGGACGGCCACGAAAAACTCAGTGATGACTAGCCCGGGCTGGTGTCCCTGCCTAAGGCTGAGCTAATGAAGTGCCGACAGTGGACCCACCCGTTTTTGCACATCCGTGTCAGCATAGCCATTGCAAAAGGGCAGACAGTATTTTAGCATTAGTTAAATAGATACGTTAGCATTAGAGAAACAGATATGACCTGCTGGCGAATCCCGGTGGCCCAAGGGCCACACCCTGAGAACTGTATCACCATAATGTTAAAAGGCCACATCTCATACAGGTTTGAAGGTGCTAATTTCCACCAGGGGCCAGTCTCCTTAAATACCAGGTTTTCAGAATTTGGACTAAAGAATAATTTTTTTTAAGTGAAATGAAACAAGTTAACATCTTAGAAGTATTTCCATGAGCTATTATGTGCATAAAGTCGGCACAGTATTGTATTTTTAAAATATGGCCAATCTTTAGAACACCCATAAAAAGTCAAAGTGTTTGCTTTCTGCATTCCCAGACTGTAAACTCTCTATGGTGAAGCAAGGCTCATCAGTAGACATTCTCTCCCCAGGAATCCTTTCTTTGATTAATCTAGCTAAAGGTGGGTAGTTGATATATTGGCTTTCCCTTCTAAATTAATATTTCAATGCAAATACTGTATGGTAGCCATTTGGCTATTGTGTTAACAGCCCACTGGCACATATATACATATATTTATGAAAAGCCGAAGAAATCATCAGAATGCGTAGTGTTAAACCTGCAGTTTTCACTCACCTGTTGGCAATGTCTTCCTGTCTCCTTCGGATCCAACCACTTCTCCATTGATTCTATTAGGGTTTGAGGACACCGGACTGTCTTCCTGACTAGCCAGATACTGCTTGGTTCGCTCACAAAACAAAAAATTTTTTTTTTTATTTCCATTCTCTGGACTTTTCAACCTGAAATTTGGGTGGTTAGAATGCCCTCCAGGACTTCTTAAAGAATCACATGGCGGAAGCTTGCTTTCATTTTTCTCAAAATTAAATGGCTCTGTCATTTTACAAGGAGATGCCTCCAAATTATTTCTTGATGTCACATTAAGCGGCAATTTAACATCCACAGAAGTCTAAGGGAAAAAATGTATTTAAAAGGCAACTTTTAATTACGAAAGTAGAAGCACTGCAGGCCCAGGTAACTTTTTTTTTATGTAACAGATAATTCTCATGAACAATTCTAACACCGATGTAACCGTGTTATCAAAGCCTGGCCTACAGGTACAAGAAGAGAACGACTCTGTCAGTAAGTACAGACTCCCAAGTTCAATGGAACTCAGCAAGATGACCAAAGACTAACTCCAGATATCAAAAAAGCATTCTCAAGAGTTCCATACCATCCCTTACTTTTAAAAGCTTTGGAGGCCAGGGGCCATTAAACCGCGGAGGTGCAGTCCAGGTCAGTTTGGGGACCAGGGCTGGCTGGGGATCCCAGCACCCAACAGCGCCGAGGTGCGCGTGATGCCCTGCTCAGCCCTCATGGGCAATGGAACGGCTCTGCAGGCTCCATCAGTGCAGGACACGTAGCCACGGAGCGAGGCGCGGCCTCAGGCCCTCTGGGTCTGTCTGAGACCCTATTCCAGGGCTGCCGCAGCTGTCACACTCCCCAGCTGGGCCGGCCCAGTCCCAGTCCCAGTCCCCAAGGCCCTTTTGGTCCCTGAGTCGCACTGCCCTCGCCTTGCGGCCCGCCTTCCCTGCCAGTCACACTGGAGCAGCGGAGCTCGCTGCCCACGCAAATGGATTATGAGGGCCAGCAGCCAGCTGAACAGATGTTTCAGGGAATGATTCTTTTTTCAGAATAACTAGATTTATCTGCGGGTCCTCGCTGAAGAGTTCGGGGGAACGGTCTGTGTAGTTAGGGCCGGGTTTGCTTTTTTTGTGTTTGCTGACACCTCCTCCACAGCACACTTATCACCGGCATCCCAAGCAGTTACCCTTCAAGACCCACAGAAGATAAGAAACCACGGGAAAGAAAAGGTAAGAGGCATGCTGAAGGTAACTGACTGGAGTTTTCATGATGCAGCTTTAATACTGCACCTGCTTTTGGATCGTGTGACATAAGCTAAATTTTCATCCCCAAAACATGAGCTAAAAACCACCTATGCTCTTATGGTACAGCTGAGTATAGATTTTGTTCTCTTTATATTTCACTTCTCAGGTGGGCTTTGATTTATACATATTTGAGACCTCTTCTTTATCTTTCTCTGAAATGGAGAACAGAAAATACATGTAAAGTTTCTTTCAGGCAGGTCTATAAAAATAATGAATACATGTGTGTGCCTCATAAATGGTAGTACAGTTTAACTATCGAAGTTTATAATTCCTTATTAGCGAAGTTGTTTTAATATTTTCTGTGAAAACTCATAGTGCAAATGAGAAGCTTTTGAAACAAAGGAATAGAAAAGGACGTTCATGTTTTAAAAGAAATATCTGTAACCGAGACCCTACAACTTACTGGTGAGATACAGTAGAGGTTATTGTTTAAGTCGGATCATCACCTACCTTCCTAGACTCTCAGGGTCCCCCTACCCTCTCATACTTGATGCTCAGCTATGTCTGTCCTTGAATGTGCTCAACTTGTGGGTTGGCCCAAAAGTCCATGATGTTTTTTCTGTGTGATGGCTCTAGTAGTGATTGGCTGTCTTTAACTTCCTTTGAAACAATTTTGTTAGATTGTATTGTGACAGCTGTCATATCAGCACGCATTTTTTAAAAAACTTATCGAAACTGGTAAATTTTTGTGCAGCCATTTTGATATTGAAGTCGGAAGAAGATACACAGCATTTTCAGCATATTATGCTTTATTATTTGAAGAAAGGTAAAAATGCGAATGAAACACAGAAAAAGATTTGTGCAGTGTATGGAGAAGGTGCTGGGACTGATCGAATGTGTCAGAAGTAGTTTGCGAAGTTTTTTGGTACTAGTGACATCCTGGCCAAATGATTCTTTGCTGTGGGGCTGTCTTATGGTTGGAAGATGTTTAGCATCTTCCCCTGTGGGTAGTACCCCTGGCCTCTACCCACTAGAAGCCAATAGCAGGAGACAGGCGACATACTCAAAATATCCAAATCAATAAAATTATTGGTGAAAATGAAAAATGGTTCATTTTATTAACATAAAAAAAAACACAAAAATCCATTACATTAACAGGCTTTTTGTCCAACCCAAATACTATCCAGAATACCCTTGCCCTCATCTGCCTGGTAAATGCTTTCCTTCCTTGTCCTCCTTCACAGTTTTCCTCAGCTGACCCCTATTTCTTGCATTTTCCCCAAAACCTCTGCTTTGATAATCTGCAGTTAAATTTCCATAAATTTTAATTTCTCTCTACTGCTTTTAAAGCACTTATCTGTGTGCACCTTTCTCTGCAAATAAGACACACATGCATATGTTGTTGCAAAGTGCACTTGGGAAACCTCTATCCAGAAATTACACTGGTGTGTTATTACTCTCTTAATCTTAAAAATAATCAGTGTCCTGCCCACCCAGGGGATGTAATAAAAATGGGCAAACAACTCTTTGAAGTAGTGACCTAACAGCTTTGCCTGCGGGCTGCAGGCAAAACTTTTGCCCATCTTCCCAAAACTGTTCAGGAAAAAAAGAATCACAAAGAGCTGAAACTAGCATGAGTAATATCTAAATGCTGTTCATTTAACATTGTTGTGAATAGAAGATAAATGGCAGAAAAATTCTCCCTCTTGGTGTCCTGAAACTTTCATCTCATCTTCTGCTTTAAATTAGGCCTCGCTTAATCCAGTGACAATCCAGAAAATAATGAAATAATAAAGAAGAGATCCAAAGGCACATTCAATGGCGGGGAACTCTCAGATCCTGGGAGGACCCCTGATAGAAGGTCTGCAGACGGGCAGCTACAGTCGGAGACCCTTCCTGCCAGGAGAGCACAGCTGTAGCAATAAGCACACCTGACCTGGAGGACCAGACTGAGAATTACTCAACGCAATGTTGGGTGCAGTGAGAAAACAGAGCAATACTGTGAAATTAAAAAGGAAAATAACCTCCGGGGAAATTCGGTGGGGACTCAAATACAGGGTAACTCTAGACTCTGTACAATATAAAGGATGCGCACTAAAATATCAGGGTCACTACCAGAAGAATAAAAATACAGCAAAGAAAATCTAAATCTAATCGAAAAAATTCAAGCACAGTAAAGAGAAACATGAAATGAGATAACAGAACCAAGCCCAAGTAATTTAAGTATCAATGGTTTAGTCTCAATTAACACAGGAAAAAAGAGACCCAGGAAGAAAAACACCCAACTTGATGTTATGCACCAAAGGCACACATAAAACAAAATTATATGGTAAGGTTGAAAATTAAAAGGACTAAAACATGTGTTACACAAATAAGCAAAATAAGGGTGGAATGTAATTATTAATAAAACAGAACAAAAGAGTTCAGAGAAATCTTTGACTCACAATAATGGAGGAGAAATTCAATATGCAATGAGAAGGACATTAGTCACACACACACACACACACAAACAGTGATAAATATTCTAGAAACAATCAATTTGATTTAACAGGTACAAATACAACCAAAAACAACTCATTTTTCTGACACTGAGCATATACTGGACTATAGGCCACCTCAATTAACTCAAAACAACAACAACAACAACAACAACAACAAAAACCCCACCACAACAAAGTAGTATCAAACAGATCTCGTCTACTCATCGCACTATACACAAATCTACATCTTGGATTTTGCTTCCCAATCAGTCTGCCATTAATTTATTAGAGAGTGAAAAGTTTGTTTTTGTTTTTTCATTTTAATCTAAAATTTATAAAATATTACCAAGGGCATGACAGCAAACATGATGATATGCACAGTTAAAAACTTACAAAAACCACTAACGGGTCCAGGCAATAAGTATTAATACAAAGATGATAAATTTGATACGCTTTAAAGGTGGTATAAACAGTAAAAACATCCAGCCACTGGAGCAGACAGTGGATGAATAACCCAAGTGCCCTCCTCTACCTCTGAACTGCCAGTGTGAGTGAAACAATGTTGTCCACGTCAAAGTTCTGTGCTGAGGCTTCTCTAAAAGCTCTGTCCTTTTCTGCAAAGCAGAGACAAATTTGGCTAGCAGGGCCCTTCACCCCTTTCTTTCTGCAACATGGACCTGTGGCCTGAAGATCTGTCCCCATGTTGCAATCAGAAAGCAATAAACATAAGAAATTGCAGAAAACGCAAAGAGCCTGGTGTCCCTGTTGGCATCCTTGAGTCCTCAGTCCGGCTTTGATCTCCAGATTCTTATTTGCAGCCCAATAGATACGGATACCAATAAATATGCAAAGGGCATGAATAGGATGCACAAGAGGATGAAGACTGATAAACAAAGGGGGGAAACCAATCAACATTATTTGCAATTAAAAAAATTTTGAAGTGAAATAACTATGTATTAATTTCTACCTAGCATGGGTGCAATTAAAAAGAACACTCATTATTGAAAGGAACATAAAATTAACATGCCCTTTCTGGGAAACAATTTGGCAATAAATATACATACATACTGGGTTGACCAAAAGTCCGTTACATGTGTTTTCCATAAAATAAAAGACACATTTTTCATTTTCATCAATAACTTTATTGATTTGGATATTCTGAGTATGTCGCCTGTCTCTCACTATTGGCTTCCAGTGGGTGGAGGCCAGGGCTGCTGCTAAATATCTTCCAGTGCATAAGATAGCCGCACAGCAAAGAGTTATTTGGCCGATATGTCAATAGTACCAAGATGTCGCTACCACTTTTGACAGGTTCGATCAGTCCCAGCACCTTTTCCACACACTGCACAAATCTTTTTTTGCATTTCAGTTGCATTTTTACCTTTTCTTGAAATAATAAAGCATAATATGCCGAAAATGTTGCATATCTTCAATATTAAAATGGCTGCACAAAAATTCACCAATTATGATGAGTTTTCATGCTGATACAACAGCTGTCACAATACAATCTAACAAAATTGTTTCAAAATTGTTTTGAAAGAAGTTAAAGACAACTAAGTGCTACTAGAGCCATCACACAGGAAAAAATGAAATAAACTTCCTTGGTCAACCCATTATATATCTAAAGAGCCTTAAAAAACATCCCTAGCCACTCTACTTCTAGAAATCATCCATTAAAACAATCCTGAACATAAAAAAAAAAAAATCCTGCATGTATACATGTCCATTTAAAATGGCCCAAAAGTTCTGGCTGGTTTGGCTCAGTGGATTGAGCGCCATCCTGCAAACTGAAAGGTCACCTTTTAGAGTCCTAGTCAGGGGACATGCCTGGCTGGCAGGCCAGATCGCCAGTTGGGGGTGTGGGAGAGGCAACCAATCAAAGATAATGTTTCTCTCCCTCTCTCCCTCCCTTCCCCCCTCTCTAAAATAAATAAATATATTTTTTTAAATGGCTGGAAAAAATTAGGTAAAAAACTTAACTGTGATGCTTCTACTAGACAGAATACACT